AATTAGGGAGCCTTTGTTAAGTGAAATAAGCCAATTATAAAAAAAGACAAACACTGCATAATTAATTCCACTTATATGAAATACTTAGAATAGTCCAAATTACAGAAACAGGAAGTAGAATGGTAATTATCAGGCTGGGGGGCTTTGGGGGGTGGGAAGTTACTGTTTAATGAGTATAGGCCCACAGTTCTGATGAGACAAAAAGAGTTACGGAGGTGGATGGTGGTGATGGTTGCCAAATATTATAAATGCAGCACTGAATTATACATGTTTGGATTGCCAAATTTTATGTTGTTAGCTGATCCTCAGTTTACAGTAGGTTTATGTCTCAATAAATACATAATCATTTGAAATTTTTTTCAGTCACAATTATATGTGGAGGTGGGCATGTTGGCCCTCACTTACAATGCCAGCTACTCTGAAGACTGAGGTAAGAGGATCGCTTGAGCCCAAGAGTTTAAGGCCAACTTTAGCAACAAGCTGGACCCCAACTCTTAAAAATAAAATGAAAAAGAAAATGTTTACTATAACAAGCCTGTTGAAAATTAGAGTTTACCCTAGACTACCTTAAAGATGCTCAAAATCTTACATTAGCTCCCGGTAACTTCAACAGTCAAAATGTTGAATAGCTTGTACAATTATTGAAAAGATCAAAATTTAAACTATATTTTCTATTAATGTGTACTGTTTTTCACACCATGATAAAGTTGAAAAATTGTAAGTAAGATCATAATTAAGTTGGGGACCATCTGTATTTTGCCACAAATTAAAAATATACTCTCGAAGACTTAAAATATAATCTCCATATGTTCAAATATACATGAAGAGATGTGAATTGTATGCCCAGACATACATAAATAAGTGGTGAGCTATACTTCTCATAAATGCCTTTAACAGCCCTTCTTGTTTAATTTCAGTATAGTACAGTGTTTGGGAGAATAGACTGCAGCCAAACTGCCTGAGTTCATATCTCAGCTCTGCTATTTACTAACTGGCAAATTATTTAACCACTCTATTCCTCAGTCTTCTCTCCTATAACATGAAGATAAGGAACCTGTTGCAAAGGGTTATTATAAAAATTTAAAAAGTTAATACAGGCAAAGTGATTAGAACACTGCATACACAGAACAAGTACTATGTAATTGTTAGCTATTTTCCTTTTCTCTTTTTTTTTTTTTCGTGGTACCAGGAATTGAACTCAGGACCCTGCACTTGCCAGGCAGGCACTTACTCTACTGAGCTATCTCCTCGGTCCTATTTTCCCTTTCTAAGAGACAAAATGGTTGTAAACAGTTGCTTCGGTTTTCTATGAAACTGTTATGTACCCATGGCCTTTGAGATAGAAAAGTATCTGCCTTCCTTAGGCATCTGTTTGCAACAGCTTCTCCGGGGCTGATCGCTGATTTCACAAAGGGAAGTAGGAAGGAGGAAGGGACCCAAGTATCTCCGCTCACTAAACTGCAAACTCCAAATGAGCTTGTACAGCCATCTAGCACCACATGCCACATGAATGAGGAGTTAATACAATCACTATACTTGGCTTGACTAGTCTGAACAATAAACACTACAGGTATCCAAAAGAGCAGCAACTGTGAGGCCTGCCAGTTACATGGAAGAGGTACAAGGCATTTCGCTTAGCCCACAGCTTTTGCTCTCTCCTATAATCATAGGAACTGGCAGAGACATACACATTTCGGGGAAAGTTGAGAAAATACTCAGTCATATGTGAGTCATCATCTCCTTTCCTCACATTCACTCAGTCATCACTCCCTCTCTGTAGTTTTGCAACATCTTTTTAACCACCTCCCTCATACTGATGTGCTCCGTGGAGCACCATAAGGAAGGCAGATGCTGCTAAGACATGGACTGGATGGGAGGCCTACAAAGCACATCATGATGCCAGAGCCCTGCAGCCCCAAGTCCTGTGGCACTTTGCCGTCCCATGGTTCTTCTTCCAGGTGAGGTCCTCCTGCTTGCTTCTCCTCCAGTGTCATTTCCCTCAAGCTACACCCTGCTGGCGTCCTTCAAGGGTAAATAAGGCTCTTCTGCCAAGCCAGTTTCCTTACTGTCCACAAAGGACCTCTCTGATCCTCCCACCTGGGCCCCTGCTCCTGCTACCCTCTCCCGCTAGGAATCACTTTTCTACCCACCTTGAAGTCCAAGCTCAAGTTGTACCTCTTCTGAGAAACTATCAACCCTTAGTTTCCTCTCTTATGACCACCTGTAGTATTTACTATTTGGACTACACAGTCTAACCATTATAAAGCTGGTCTCCAAAAGGCAATCATCTGTCTTGTAACAAACAGTATATATACTTTCTTTTTCTTCTCTTTTCCTTTTTTTTTTTGGCGGAACCGGGGATTGAACTTTGGCGGAACCAGGGATTGAACTCAGACCCTTGGACTTGCCAGGAAGCGCTTATCCTACTGAGCTACCTCCCTGGCCCCAGTCTATATACTTTCATGGGTCACAACCAGTTCTGTCCTGCCACCCTAGAAGTCCCCTAGCTCCTGTCAGCCAAGGACTTCTTTGGGCTGCGAGAGCCGCTGAGTACCTTGGTTAAGGGCATGGCATCTGAAATCTGGCTTCTGGGTTGGGAAGCCTAGCTCCTTCATTTCATTTAAACCTGGATCTCAGCTTCACTGCACTTCAGCTTTCTCATACACAAAATGTAACCAATAACAGCACGTACAGCTTAGGCCAGTGATGGTGAACCTATTAGAGCTCTTAATGATACACATAGCCCACTGCAACATGCATGCCATAGGTTCACCACCACTGGTTTAGGCTTTTGTAAGATTAAATGGAAGAGCACAGTGTGGTGCACTCCTGGAATCTCAGCACTTGGCAGGCCAATGCAGGAGAATGAAAAGTTCAAGGCCACCCAGGACTACACAGCAAGTTCAAGGCTAGGCTAGGTTATATACTGAGACCCTATGTCAATCCAAAAATCAAAACCAAACAACATAAAAGGTTAAACAACATAGAAGTTAAACCCTTAGAAAACTGCTGGGCATAAAGTAAGCACTACACAAATGCTAGCTATTATTAAGAAACGGCACAATGTAGGCTACTGAGCTAAACAGACTATAAACAAAACGGGTAACCTGATCATTTCAAACACTCAGAGGATCAGAGCTGGAGGAGCTTTCAGAATTTAGGAAGTTCAAGCTAATTTCACTGATGAGCAAACTGCAGCACAAGGGAAGGGGAGAGAACTAGCCCAGAGGCTCACTGCTAGTAAATATCGAAACCACTAAAACTCAGGTCTGGTGACTAGAGGTACTACATTCCCCCATCACATCTCAATACAATTCTATCAATATATCTAATAGAAAGAGAGTCTCCACGCATTAAGTAACTAAGTTATTATCAAACCAACATGACAACACTGATTAAGTGGGGGCTGCCAGCATTGCCTAGAAGGCCTACTGTTGTTTCAGGTGTGTAAGAGGGGGAATCTGTAGGAGGGAGAGTGTGGGAGTGACACTATGAAAATCAGGAGACTAATGAGATGTATGACCTTAGACAACTCCCTTCCCTTCTCTGGACTGCAGTTTCCCCATATACTTATGAAAATCAGATCAGGTGTCCCCATTTGAACTAGAGGGATGTTGGATGCTTTAAGAATATAACATATTCTTAAAGCAACTTTCCCAAGCCTGGTTCAGCACTAAATAAGGCAGATAGTTGAAGGCTAGGGGGTGTAGCTCAGAGGTAAAGCACTTGCTACGCCCTGGATTCCATCCCTAGACTGCAAAAAACAATAAACAAGAAAACAAAAACACCTTCTCTTCAAGGTCTTTCCATGCCACCCTATTTACAATGGCAAACCGGTTCCCTGACTTGGTTTCTCTTCCCAGTACTTGGTGCTGTCTGACATGTCACATTATTACTACTTTCCCCTCTGACACTGCCAGGAGCACATTAGCTCCACTGTACAGGGACTTGATCTATTTGCTCACTCATTCTTAGCACCTAGAACACTGCCTGACATAGAGCAGACACATCCGTTTTATTGCATAGATCAATATATGGCATTAAGATTTCCTAATTGACAGTTCAACTCTGGTTTCAAAGTACACTGATAAAAATGCAATAAGCATATTGTTGGCATCTGTCTCAGTGTGATAATAAAATTTATAAAATTTCGGAGCTACTATTACTACCCAAAATGTTCAATTCTTGCAGCAATCCTGTAGGGTTGATTAGTTAAAAGCAGCTGCACAGGAGTGAACAGGATGGAGAAACTTTGTCATCAATATTTGCAACTCTTCCATACATCTATGATTATCTCAAAATGTAAAATTTATTAAAGAGGGACATCTGCCCGGATGCTGCTCTGGCTTTCCCAGTGAACGCAACAGAAGCCATGGCCCTCAATCAAGTCCTTTTAATACAGGGCCTGGGATCTTCCTCAGTTCTTCAAGGTCCACACCAGAAACTTCACTTTGATAGTGCTGAGCAGTGCGGCTCTGGGCGAAGAGCCCGTGAAGTTTGGGGCTCCGCAGACGTGGGTCGCCAACCCAGCTCTTGAGTTCACAGTCTGAGCCACTGGCCTGTTTCGGTTCCATCCTCGGGCCCCAGCCTCTCGGCTCTTCCCGGCCACGCAAGGGAAGTGGGATGATAGCAAGCCTCCTCCAATTCCGCCGGCGCCGCGCTCGAGAAAACCCCGCCACTCCGGGTCCCCCGCCTCGAAGGGAGCGCGAGCGCCAGGCCCAGAGGCTGCGGTCGCTGAGCGCGGAGCGTGGCCAGGACAGCCCGCAGCTCCCCGTCGCCGCGCCCCCCGCCCCACGGCGTCCTCCAGCGCCGGCCTTTTGCCGAGACCCCTGCCTCCCGCCACCGCCAGGGCTCCGTGCTCACTCACCTGAGGGCACGGCGGCCCAGCCGGCGCCGGTGCAGAGCAGCAGCGCCCACAGCCCCCAGCCCCGCGCCGCCAGCTCCATACGGCCCCTCGCCTCGAGCCCGGCCGGGCCGGAGCCTGGGCAGTCTCCGCCTACCTCGCTCCCGCTCCCACTTCCCGGCTGCGCGCCGCGGAGGCTGGGGGCCGGGGCAGACGGGAAGGCCCGCCCCACCCACGGCCGCAGGTAACCTGAGCCGGCGAGCGAAGGCGGGCCCGCGGCTGGGTTCCACCTGGCCTCGCCACCCCTTTGCTAAGCCCAGATCCCAGACCCAGCAGTGACTTCCTTGACCACTCCCGGCCAGCTCAAGCGGCTGCCGGCCCCCGCCCTCTGCGCGGTGGAGGCAGCGCCCGCCCTCGTCGAGGCTAAGGTGCACACTCGCCTGGCCGTGTGATGCCAAGGGCTGTGCCCTGGGGAGCACTAGGACGTGTTCCTAGGGAAAGAACCTTGGTCTGGGAGCCTGGAAACCTGGCTGCCAGCTCTTGGCCTCTGAGCTCTCTTGTTTCCTAAGCTCTGACTCCAGAGTTAGTAATACTAGGCTTGCCTCACTGGGTGGACTGGAAAGTCCACGTAGGGGCTTGGTGACACTGTGCTTTATGGAAGGGGCAACCGGTGTGTCTGAAAGCTGGTAACATTAAGTAGGACATAAAAGCAATATTCCCAATCTGAGGGACAGTACTACATTATGTACTTGAATTTTTAATCACATAACCAACTTCCTCTGTATTTTTCAAGGATATAAATTGAAAGGATAAAATCTGAAAGCAGCATGCTGAATACATAAAATTAGGTGCCTATGAGAGCTAGCAAGGTTGGGGAGGGGGGAACTGAGAACCCTTATGAGTGTGCTATTACTGCTGCAGCAAATTACCACAACTTTAGTGATATAAAACACAGATGTGTCGCCATTGCAGCGATTGAAAGTCTTATAGAGCTAAAATCAAGGTGTGGGCAGAGCTGAATCCCTTCTGGAGATTCCAGGAGAGGATGTGTTTCCTGACTTTTCTGGCTTCTAGAGACTGCCCACATTCTTTGGTGTGTTGCTGTACCACTGTACCATATTTGCTTCCCTTGTCATGTCTCTGACTCCGCTCTTCCTGACTCCATCTTTCCTTTATAAAGATGCTTGTGGGGCTGGGGAGATAGCTCAGTAGAACAAGTACTTGCCTGGCAAGCACAACGTCCTGAGTTCAATCCCCAGTACCAAAAAAAAAAAAAAAGATGCTTGTGCTTACACCCAGCTTCACAAATAATCCACAATAATCCCCCAATCTCAGAGCCCCAGATTTGGTCACATGTGCAGTCATTTTCATTATGTAAGGAACCACATCTGCAAGTGTTGAGAAGCAGGGCGTGGATAGCATGGAAGGAGGCATTACTCCATCACTCTCCCCCCTAGAAAAGACTTACCTCTGGATGGGTGAGACCCACGAGATGCAGTACAGCTTGATCAAATCAAGCCACCAATTAATACACCTGAAAGCAGTTATAAAAATATAGCAATGAAAAGTTGATAATATACCTAGTGCAATATACCTAGTCTCAGACTCACCCAAAAGGCATCAGGCTGTTTAACCTAGCCCAGTAGCTGTGAGCATTTTAGGGCTTTCAAGGAAATAGCCTGACTGTGGCACATGTGCCTTAGGTTTGCCTCTGCCGACCTTGCCAAAACAAAGGTACCACTCTTGGGATAAAGGTCTCAGTTTCAATAGTTATGAAGACCTTCAAGGAATTATGAATGACAGTCCTTCAAAGTAGACATTTCTGGGGGTGTTGCTCAGTGGTAAAGCACACACTTAGCATGTGTAAGGCCCTGGGTTCCATCTCCTGAACGAATAGGAAAAGAGCAGAGCAAAGCACAGCAGACTTGCTAACAAAGAGCTGTGAGCCCATAAGGGTAAGAACATGAAATTGTGGAGTGTAAAGAAGGGGCTTTAGAGGAGGAAAGGGGCAAGAAAGGCTTCTAGGAGGAGGGCCTACCTGCCCTGAACCTTATGATATTGATCCTGGCAGTTAAAGGTTCAGCATAAATCCACATATACAATAATATATAATACTATAGTATATATTTGTATCATATATTATACAATTATATGTATAATATGTATATTTGAATAAAATAAGGTTAGTGGAAACACTATAACAACTATCAAAGCTGATAGAACTGAGAGATCTTACCATTATTATTCAATCTCTCTGCAAATAGGTCAGTGACTCTCAAACCCAAAACCTTCTTCCCCCTGATCACCAGACACATATGCACTTGCTGAGATTTGCTGGAAACATTATACAATAAGTTTATAATAACATTTCCAAAATGACCATGCCAACTGCCTTTTAAGGCATGTCCAGCTGGAACAGGAGCTGCTGGGGACTGGCTGAGTGCCATCATGAGCTCTGGCTGGCACAGACAGTGCTCAATCCAGTGCACAGTAACAGTAGCACATGATTAGCAAAATAAGGGCTGTGACATGTCATTAATCCCCAGAAAAGGCCTGAAGAATTTGAGCACTGGGAAGAAAAAGACAAAGGACTGCAAGGGCTGGGAGGGGACTTGATTTCCTTTCACAGAGAGAATTTTGGCTTACTGCCTGCACGACTGTATAGTTAGTAACCTTTATCTCCCATCCTAAGCATCCAACAACAATTTTTAAATTTTTCTGATGGTGTTGGAGAGGGTTAAGAATGCTGTTTGTTTCTTCAACATGAAACCATTATTTGCAATCTGTGTGTCCTCTTATTTGAAGGGCATCATGGATTGAATCAGGCCACGATTCTGGTATGTAGGAAGAATGAAGACAAATGGAAGGCTTTCCAGGAACCGCAATAAACACTAACTCTCTGGCTTTGTGTAACCAAAATCATGATGAGGCAACATCAAGTTTTAGCTTTAACTCTTAGCCCCCTGAGGCTTGAGTGTGAGACTGCCAGCTACCTTGTTGCTTTGGCCCCATGAGGCTGGAGTTCTTGGCTGTCCTTTATACTTGAGTTGCTCCTTTTTCCCTGTTTCCTAAGGCTTGCTACTTTTGCAGGTGGAAAGAAGTAGGAACAAGAAAATGTTCAACAAAAATAAAAAAAGGCTCTCCTTCTAGCCAGGAAGAAACATCCCCATGAGTTCAAAATGGATGGGGATACCAGCATACATCACAGGATTAGGTGAAAATCTCACAAAGGGTCCTCTATCATTTGTTAAGCAAAATCAAAACAGATCCTCACACTACTGCAATGCAAAGAAAAGGGGGAAGTCACCACCAGGGGAATTTCCCTTCTCCTGACTTTATAGCAGTGGCTCCCAACTGGGGGCAATTTTGCTTCTCAGGAGATATTTGGCAATGTCTGGGGATATTTTGGGTTGTCATGACTGATAAGGGAGGGATGTTCCTGGCGTCTAGCAGGTAGAGGCCTGGGGTGCTGCTGAGCATCCTCCAAGGCACTGGGACAGCTAACAACAAAGGCTTATCCTGCTCAAAATGACCACAGTGCAAAAGTGTAGCTCAGTGCTAGAGTGCTTGCCCAGCATCCAAGAGGCCCTGAGTTCAATGCCTATTGCCATAGAAAAAGAAAAGAAAAAGGAATTCTGAGCTAGAGTATTCTTTTATATTTCATCACACCTACCAATTTTCCTAGTGCCCATCAAGAAACAGTGAGAGAAGGCTTGTAAAACTATTTGCTTGTGCAGCCTCCCTTTTCTGTATCCAGCACCCCTAGTTCCTCCATCCCACTGTCTAGCCATGTAGTCACAGTAGATTGTAAAGCATCACTTAGAACTAACGCCTCCCACACACCTCCATGGTCTTATTTTGTGTCCTTGATACTGCTTACCGCAATGTCTGTTCAAGCTGACTCTAAAGATACACCCTCCATGAAACAGATATTTTCCAAAATACAAATCTGATCATTTCATACCCCAGGTTAAACTCCTTAAGTGGCATCCTTCCCCTCAAATGTCCCAAAGGGAATTCCTAACTCCTTTACTTGCAAGCTTGCCTCTGCAGGACAGATTAATTCTCAAGACTCTTCATAACCTCTTTCGAGCCAGGCTCCTAGGTCACTCAGAGCTGTAGCAGCACTAGCTGACTGGCCATCCTCAGGCTGAATGTCCTTGTGGAGTGTGTGTGTGTGTGTGTGTGTGTGTGTGTGTGTGTGTGTGGTTGTTTCTGCTGCAGGATTCAAATTATTTTTTTAAATTTTATTTATTTATTTATGTGTGTGTGTGTGTGTGTGTGTGTGTGTGTGTGTGTGTGTGGCCAGCTCAGCCCACCAGGGGGCGGGGCTGGCTGGCATGTGGTGCTGGGGGATTGAACTGTGGTCCCTGTGCTTTGCTAAGCTTGTTCCAAATAGGTGCTTTAGACCACTGAGCCATCTCACCAGCCCCAGGATTCAAGTTCTTGGAGGCCAAGGACTCCCAGTTCAAGGCGATCCCAGGATTTCTACCTCTGGTAGAAAAATGTTCAGGGCAATAATCTAATTGTAAGGGACAACCACCAGGGGGCTTGTCTTGGGGACCCGTGTGTACAGTAAGTGCCCTGCTCTTACCTTGATTCTGAGTTTTTTGGGGGATGACTTGGGGAAAGCACCCACTGGCACCACAGAGAATATAAAGATGACTATAATGCGGTTAGCAGCACATGCCTGTCCCCAATGTTTACAGTTAATTACATTGATCCTCACTCTTCAGCAAGTGAGTTCCTGATTTGATTTTCACTCGTTATACTAAAATGAATGACAGGATCCTTTCAACTTAGCCCGACTAGACTAAGCATCCACTGGAGTGGCTGGATCAGAGCCTATAGCACTGTAGGCTCCTACAGTGCTCACTAAACTAACATTGTTGTTTTTGTATTATTTGGGATCAAATCTTCAGCCTCCACCTGTTAGGCAAGTGTTCTGCTACCAAACCACAACCCCCAGCCCTACAGTAACTTTTTAATTGAATGGGATCTGTTCCTGCTTAGAACTCTTGCATGTCAGCGTCATCAAGTGACCTCAAGGGTTTTGCCCTGTCTGACTTCACTGCCTCTCTAACTGCCTTTCCCTTGGCTCCATTATTTTCCCCCAGCCACACTGATCATCAGGATGTTTCTCACAAAAGCCAAGTACATGCCTATCTCCGGGCTTTTATCACACCTAATTCCTTCAATACTTGTTGCCTCTCCCCAAGATATCCACATCTCTCTCTCTCTCTCCTCATTCAGATGTTACTGAGGCTTGCCTTGGCCACCCCATCAAAACAATGATGAGCTCCTAGCCAGACATAGTGGTACACACCTAGAATCCCAGCTACTTGGGAAATGGGGACAAGATCAAGTTTGAGGCCAATCTGGGCAACTTAGTGAAAGCCTTTCTCAAATAAAATAAAACAAGGACTGGGGATGTCACTCAATGATAGAATACCTCTGGCTTCAATTCCCAGTATCATTAAAAAATAAACCCCATCAAGGCACCTCCTTTTCTCCCTTCCTGGGCAGCTTTATTTACAACACAAACTTGTAAATGTTACAAGTACTGAGATTTTTTTGCCTCTGATTTATTCCCAGAGGTGGCACATGGCACAGGTTACATGCCCACTAAATATATTTTAATGAATACATACATTGCACTTTGTTAGATGCTATGAGAGGTAGCAGCCAATGAACAATTTTGGAAACAGTTCCTTTCCCTTAGGAAGCTCCTAGGCTTAGTAAAGTACAAAAACAATTAGAGAAAGTGCAACAAACAAACAAAAAATAACCAGAAACATTCACCTGTGGTACAGGTTTAGAGAAAAACAAAACAGACAATTGTGATTGGAATGACTTTGGAAAACTTATTAAAGGAGATGAGAGTTAAACTAGGTCTTAACAGAGAACCAGAATGATAGAAAGGAGAGAGGAAGGGGGCAGGAGGAAAAGGAGACAGGAGAAGAGAGGAAAGAGGAGACAGGGAGAGAGAAAGAATGGAAATGGGGAGGAGGAAGGGAAAGAAGGGAAGGGGAGGGGAGGGAAAGGAGGAAAGGAGAGGAGAGAGGGAGAGGGGAGAGGGGACAAGGAGCAAGCAGGAGAGGGAGAGGGGAGGAAAGGGGAGGGGAGGGAGGGGAGGGAGAGGAAGGAAGAGCCAGGCAAGAGAAAGGAATGCCAGAGAAGGTCAGTTTGTGGCTTGCTCTCACAAGCAATAAAGAAACACATAACATTTTTTTAATAAACAAAGTGGTAGCATAATAAAGGTGATGTTTAGGAGAGCTAGCTCTCTAAAATGAATGACTAAGACCTCATAAATTTTTTGCTGGAGGCAGGAAGACCAGGGAAACACTATTTGAGGTGTTGGCAGCTGGAGTTGGGGACAGCCTCCAGGCAAGGGGGAGGATGTTGGGAAAGATAAAAACCAGAGGCTGTGAGGCTGATTCTTTCCTGAGCAAAATTATTTGGGGGTGCTGCTATATATAAGACAGCCTGTACCGCCGACTGTCTCTTGTCCCCATGAAAATATTCACTGTTTTCCCAGATGCTCCAGGCCTCACTCTTTTCATGCTATACAGCTTACCTCTCCAGAATTGGCCCTGTTCTGTGTTCCAACACTCATGTCCTGCAGAGGAAGCCTCTCTGTGTGTTGGCATTCAAGGCTCCTCTCTTGGACTTTGGTTGGGGTGGTGTCAGCCCTGCCACCCCCCAGGACCTCAGCCAGGATCTCATGCCAGCTTTTCACTGTACCCTCTCCGCTAAGCATCTAAAGCTCTTCTCAGGCCCTGCCCCCTTCCCTAGTCCTGGCAGGACCATCCAGATCTTGTGCACTGTCAAGCTTTTAACAGCTTTGCACCTGGCCACTCTGCATTCCTATCTCAGCCTGGGTGGCAAGGGGTCCTCAATGTCATGATTCAAATGTGTTATTTGCATATTTGTGGCCTATACTTCCCTGCCCTTGAGAGGTCTTCACTGTTTGCCTTGAGAGTAGAAGGTAATTAATATTTGCATTTTACCAGATAAACCTCCAGGCCCTCTTGCCTCACTCACAAGGTCTCTCTGTGAAGGGGCCTCTTTGCATACCAGCAACTCTGCCCTGCTAATCAGCACTCTGATTTGCATATAGCAAAGCATCCCCAGAGGTCACTTTGCGAACCTGGTTTGTGGACAGAACTATTTGCAATGATGAACTGCAGGCCTGACTCCGCACTTGGAAAACTCCAGGCTTCAAGGGAAACAGCAAAACTCATCCCAAAATAATCCTCACGTAGCCCCGTCCCTCCATGCCTTTCACCAGGATTGCCCTCTTGGTCTTTGATCAAGTGGAGTTCACCTCCACAGTAGCATGTCTGGGTGCTGCGCTGTGGCTACATGCACCCTGGCCTAAGAGACAGAGACCAGCAAGGGATAGTCAGCTCACTCTTCTGCAGCCACAGTTTCCAGGATGGTACTAATCTTTCAAATGAATGAAGTCTGTGTCACGGCAGTATATAGTTTATTTTTGTAAATGTTCCATGAATGTTAGAGGAAAATGCATAGCCTCCATTTACTGGGCACGCTGTTCTATTTTTATTTATATTTTTATTTTTGTAGTACTGGGGATGAACCCAGGAGGCAGTGAACTACAAACCCCAACCCTTTTTGTATTTTGTGTTTTGAGGTACAGTCTCAATAAATTACCCAAGCTGGCCTTGAACATGTGTTCTTCCTGCCTCAGCCTCCCATGTAGCTGGGTTGCTGCTGTATGCTAGTGGGCCAGTTTGATTTTGTATTTTCTGTTTTTCTTATTGTTTGGTTCCTTTTCATCCTTCCCACTCTTAACTTCTTTCAAATGTCGTGAAGTTATTATTTTTTTAATCTTTCTCTTTTCTTGACAAGGATGTCTTCTGTAAAATGGGCATAACAATGCCTACCACCACAACGATTCCTGTAAGGATGAGATGTGAGGCGAAGAAACTCCCATGAAGAATTTATGCAGTGCCCAGAGCATGATAAACAGTAAAAATGGGAACAATTATTAGAATTTCTAGTACTCTTTCGTCTTTATAGTTCCCTCATCACTTAGTGGTTCCGCTTCTATTGTTCTCCTTTCTGATCGCCTTGTCCCATTTGTTCTCAGTCCTTTTTCTTTCATTTCTCCTTTGCTGCCACTCAGTTTCCTGTTTCCTCTCACCCTTTCATCCCCAGGCAGCGACATGTGCAGCCTGCAGTGATGAAAGCATCTTGGGAGGAGAGCTAGTATGAGGGCCACAGCAGGAGGGCCACAGCAGGAGAGGGAGAAGCGTGTGCAGGGGCTTTCCTGCTGATTCCTACTCTGCAAGGGAGCAAAGACCATGCTCAACACCCAGCCAACTACGGGCGCCATGCTAGGCTTGCCGTGTTGAAATTGGATCAGCTGGCTCCTCTGCCTGTGAACAGTATAAAGGCAACAGAGCCCAGCAGGAAGGTTTGCCTATGCTCCTTAGCGGTTTCCTCTGTGGAGTAAAGCCCATTTGCAATCTTCACACTCAGGGAGTCCTCTGTGGGAGACTGGGTGTCACCTCACTAGGAATTTGTATATGCACCATCAGATCCTGGAAAGAGGAACCATTTGTACTCAAGCACACTGTGGTCAGAGGAAAATTTTGTCATCATTGTAGTAACAGAGCTGCAACTAAATTTAGCAAACTGTAGATTTGTTTTTCCTGATGGTTGGAGAAAGAAATATGTTTTCTTTCTAAAAAGCGACAAGTCACTAATTGGTACTTGATTGCTGTGGAGATTCTTTACTCTGTGTAATTTAGCTCTTTACTTTTCTGTGTCTTTGTAACATGACGTTCTTTCAGATATACTGTGTCACTGGACAACACTGGTACTTGATGTAGTTTTGGGTGCTTTTCCATTGTCTGGTGGTTTCCGTCCTTAGACTGAAATAAACAGAGATGCACAACTTCCATATTTGAAATGGATCTCACTCTTATATGTGAGTCTAAGCTATTGATAGCAATTGTGCATATGCTTTTATTCTGCACAAAAATTTTGTATAGAAATTGTTGGGGTTTTCTGAAATTTCTTTATCACAAAAGTGCAACCTCACCTTATGGTATAGAAAAAATGCAATGTATTCCTGTTAGCATAGATAATAACAAGAATGTTTCTCTATGATTCAAAAATTCTACAAAAACAAGCTATATACAATTTATCATAGCTTTTATTACCAAGGAGAATGCTACCACCAGCATATTATAGCAATTAAAGGAACAATTTGATTTCTTAAAATCTATAAAAAGATTAGGGTGGTAGAAATTAAGGAAGGTGACTATACACCTAAAAGAAGCACACAGGGGTGCAGAATGAAATTTACCCAGGAGGGGAGAGAGTTATGGGAATGTGTAGAACAATGTGTGGATGAGAAAGGGAGGACAGGAAGGGGAGAGAGAGAGAGAGAGAGAGAATATTAGATGCAGAACTGCCATATGATCCAGCAATTATACTTTTAGTTATATACTCCAAAAACTTTAAAATCATGATTCAAATACTTATTTGTACATTCATATTTGTAGCAGTATAATTCTTAATAGCCAAAGTAGGAACCAAATGTCCGTTAGTGGATAATTGGATAAAAATGTGTTATATAAGGACTGGGGAGATAGTTCAGTAGAATAAGTGCCTGCCCAGCAAGCACATGGTCCTGAGTTCAATCCCTGGTTCCACACAAAAAAATGTGTTATATACACACAATGGAATATTATTTAGTCTTTAAAGAGGAAGAAATTCTGACATGTGCCACAATGCAGAGGGACCTTGCAGACATTATGCTAGGCGAAATAAGAGAGTCACAGAAGAAAAAAAGAACATTACAACTCTTATATGCACACTGTGGGAGTCTCATGTGTGCACAGGCAGAGCTTATGGAAGACAAACAGATCATGGGGGTGCTACACTCGCTAGCGTAACCATCCATTGGTGACTCTAGCAGCGGAGAGTGCTGTTGGAGTGTTAGGCCTGGCCAGAAAAGAACATAACGTGGAAGGGTATAGCTCCCTCCCTGGTCTGTCTCTCTCTGTCTTTCTGTCTCTGTCTCTCCCTCTCTCTGTCTGTTTCTCTCTCTCTCTCTCTCTCTCTCTCTCTCTCTCTCTCTCTCTCTCTCT